TTTAGGTGCCATATTTTCTGTCATCTGTTAAAATATTTCCAAGATAGTTAAATTTTTGTACTTCCTTGATTTTGAGATCTCCAATTTTTAGCTTGTATCTTCGACTGTTCTTTTTATTGACATTATGATTGTTTTTACAATTAATAACCCTTTCTTTTCCCACTTTCCCTTACTACCGTGTCGAAGAGTTTCTGCAGTTTTCTTTCTATGTTTTCCATGAACACAGTATCATTTGTGTATCTTATATTGATAAGATTGTGTCCATAAATAATAAATCCTTGTAAGACATTCTTCTAGATTGCTTCACTGTATATCTTACTTATTATAAAACGCAGATTGTGTGTGTGTGTGTGTGTGTGTGTGTGTGTGTGTGTGTGTGTGTGTGTGTGTGTGTGTGTGTGTGTGTGTGGTTCTAATAGTGTTAAAAAATACAATGTGTGGACAACCTCATCGAGTTACGTTGTTTGTGTGTGTGTGTGTGTTCGTTTATATATTGGATCAGATTTCCTACATTTTTCAGCCAATTTCAACAAAACTTCACAGGACTGCATAAAATTACCTTGTGGTGGTTCTGACAGTGCCAAAAATTAGAAAAATACAATTGTTTTTGCACAAAATCAATTTGAAAACACAATAAAACACGATTCTGTTGCCAGAATTAAAGTGGGACAACTCATATCGAGTTATACTTATCATAAAACCCAGGTTGTTTGTGTGTGTGTGTGTGTGTTCGTTTATATATGGGATCGGGTGGAAAAACGCATTGTTTCCTACATTTTTCAACCGATTTCAAGAGCCCAAAAATTCACTTTTTTTTTACGTGGAAGGTAGTGTTTTTTTTAAAACTTATTGTCTTGCACACTTTTTTGGTCGAAAACTTTATTTTTACATTCAGAATGCTTTAAAAATTCCATTTACAAGACAATTGTTTATAATAAGATTCTATTCAATCGATAGACTCATAACAATTGAAAACAATGATTTTGTTTGAGTTTGGGTTTGACCAATTTGTAAAAAAAAAAAAAAAAACAAAAAAAAAAGAAATACTAATTAAGACATGTGTGTCCGTCAGCCTTAAACAATGATCTTTGTCAATTTTATTTTTTAGTCTTTATGATGGTCGATACTTGATCTATCTCTTACTGTTACATCCCCGGGCAACGCCGGGCTCTACTGCTAGTATTGAATAAATCTGGTGAGAACGTGTATCCTTGTCTTATGTCCTTTTATATTTTTGTGTACATACTCAATTCACCTTCTATCTTTCTATTTGTATACAAGTTTTCTTCTAGTATTTAGCCTAGATTATTCTAATACCTATCCCAAATAAATAAAGTTTTCCTAGCAGTTCAAATAAGCCTTTGTGTCATAACTTATAAATAATCAATTTATGACAATGCAAAGTTTTTACCTACAAAACAATATTTTATATAGTTACCCTCACTGATTAATCATTTTAGCCAGTCATAGACAAGTTGCATGTAACACACATTTAAAATCTGCATGAGTTGTGGCAAACCATTTTTTCAGAGAAGAACAATGATGACATTATTGTCAACAAAATGTTGTCTACATAATCTGTCTTCCATTGGTTCTAACAGATGAAAGTTGAAAGGTGCCAAATCTAAACTATACAGTGGGTAGGGTAGGGCAGTTTGGCCAAAATTTGCAATGTGATACACAGCATTCAAACTGTTGAGGGACCTGGAATTATTATGCTGCAAACTAAACATAATCTGGTCTGAACCTGAAAATTCAGGTCTTCAGTTTAGTCAACATCAAGATGTAACCATCAGAATTTATGGTTTGTCCAGGTTCCAGAAAGTCCAAGATAATCATTTCTTTCCTAGCCTAAAAGACAATACAAATCACTTTGCTCACTGATGGCTGTGTTTTCAATGAATTCTTTGATGAAGAATTCCCATGCTGCTATTCCAAGAACAGTCATTTTGATTCTGTCTTATAATAGTGACACCATATTTTGTCACTGGGGATGTTGCAATTCTGGAAACTGTCACCTTCAGCTTCATAAGATGTTCAACAATTACTTGCATTCTATAGTTTTCCTGTTCTTATAAAAGCATATGTGACAACCACCTGACACAAATCTTCTGATTATCCAAAAATACCAACATCATATCCAATGAACCGAAGCCAATATTCAGCTCCATCTGCAAATAATTATAAATCAGCTGGTAGGTTGACAGCTGTGCTGAGCCACTTGGAATATGGCTTCTCACATACATTGCTGTCATCACTACTCAAACATATTACTTTTCACCTAACTGTGCTCACATCCACTATTTGATATCCATAAATGTTCAGCAAGTGTCAATGTATATTACTAGGTGCAATATTTTGTGCATGTAGGCATTCAATAACACATTTCTGCTTTACATGCACAGATGCCATTTTGTCAAACTCTCATTTACTTCTATCTGTAAGAAGGCAAAAGAAAAAAAATAGGTTATTGGCAGGAAGATTCAATCTATATGGACATATTACCAACTTCCCTTTCTGTCATTGTAGACCAAAATAATAAAATAGGAAGCATTACTTTTAAAATGACTATCATAGATGAATTTAGAAAACAACTTGTCTTAAAATTACTTTAGTCCATTTTGAAGGAAAGGTTTCTCCTGTTCATGTTTTGGATAAAATGGAGTCTTTCTGTGCCATTGATAAACCTAAGCTATTTGCTATGTCTCTCGATGTAAAAGGAAAATTGACAAGTTCAATCCATAAATAATTGCATCTTAAGACAAGGCTTAATTGTGGGGCAGTAATAATTGGATTTGGGCAAAACTTCTGATTCCCTCTTTGATATTTTCAAATATTTCTTTACTTCTTATCCATTTTACAGAGTATAATTAAACGATGATCTTAATTGAAATTATAAAATGTATGAAATTTCTATAAGAAAAATTAGTGCAATGGAATTCTTCAAATTCATTCTGAACAAAGTTTGTGATTTTGAGTATCACCTGTCAAAAGAAATCTTCCATTATTTACACTGTTATCCCCATCTTCATTGCCATACTGGCAATGTTTTGGCCTTTGTATGCTATGGCCTTCCTCAGGTGATTGGAATTTCAAACCGAACCCTTTATTTCATCCACTGGGATAGATTGTTCTAGTTCCACGTGCCATGACATTTCCAGATATCTCAGTTATTTCTCTTTAACTCAATTCTCCAAGTTTTGGTTCCCCACTGCTGTGGCCTGGTATTGGACTGACAACTCTTTGGGTCTAGTCATTGGATCTAACCAACATTTTTATCCACTGGCCCATGCATCCTTGAGTTCGAATAATGTAAATAATGCAAGCAATCATACTACCTCATCTCAGAGACATAGAGAGACAAAGAAATCTTGTATGAAACATTTGACCACAGTTCATATAATTTATAAAATTGTTCTATATAAATAAGATTTGTGACGGAGATGTTTGAGTGGTCATAATAGTTGGACAGGTCTGAATGATTTAAGTTTTGCTGATAACAAATTTAAGTGACTCAGATTCTTCATCTTCTATTGAACAAATTACAAGTAGAATTTATATTTTACTTATTATTTTATCCTTAGTTTTCTTTAATATCATTTTTCATTCATTTGTGTCTCATGAAGAATATGTTAAACCCCAGTCAAGTACGAGAATTTAAATTTTGACAAGTGACTTCTCATTCTCTAATCTATTGATTTCTAGCAAAATTATTCACTCTTGGTTTTTACTTGTCAAATGAAAGAAAAATTATTATAAATAATCCATAAATTATTTTGTCCCAGCACTTATGGTCTTCTCTCATGGGAGAAATATTGCAAAATGTTTTTCTCCTTTCTAGTTTAATCCTAATTTTGTCAATAATTTATTCAAACTGAAATTTTACATTGTTTTTGTTCTTGGTTGCAAGATTGACTTACTTGTGATTCTTGTTTTCATATCAAAAGAGAACACTGATACAGTGAATTCATGAAAGCTATAAAAATGGACAGAGTATTGCATTAATATTCTGAAAAAAATATTTTGATCTTTTGCCATCTGTAATTTATTGATTGATTGATTGGGCTAGCTCATAATTTGTTTCAATTGCTTTTCCATTTTCATGATTTATAATCAAATGAAGTTTTTAATTAGATTATGAGGATTAAATTAAATCAATTTACCATTTTTATCAACTTTTAATTTAGAATGAATAAAAATAACTCAAGGTGAAGACAGTCTCATTTGCAATCATTAAGCCCTGATGATGAAAAGGAAAAAGGTTTTCAAAAATTAAATCAGATTATTTTATTAACTTCATTGCTTCTCATTCCTGATTAAAATCATTTGCAACAAATCAAAAATGTCAACACCAATATCAAAGATGAATTATTTGCCTTCAAAATGGATGTTACACTAAGAATTTCCCTTATCTGTTGTTTTCTTATTAATTCAGTTGTTTGCAGTTGAAGACCATTTTTAAACTGCTTCTCTTTGCACAAAAAAGAATTGATTGAATCATCACTTTCTTCGATGAAATAATAAAGGTGAACCATAACTTACAATGAGGGAAGGTATAATGATTAAAAATCAGTTGGTTAACAGACTATGTTTTCAAAGTTTCTTTTAATATAAAACTTCAAATAAGTTTATTTGATAATTTTTGTATTTTCTATTAAAATAAATGAATGCCTTTCCACTGTTTTCAAAAGATACTATGTATTTAAAGGTTTTAAATATTGTTTTGATTGATTGATTCATGTTCTATAGCATATCAACCCTTTGCAGGTTATTTAATGCCAAAAAATATTTTTAGATAAGAATTTGTTTTTGAGATAATAATGGTTTAAAGATACAAATCTTACTAATTAACCCATAGCTGAGAAGAGAAGAGATGGATTCATACCTTTCCCAAGGATACTTGAATGTAAGTGAATATAATGAAATCAAATGAATTGGAACTCAGCTCTCTGATTAACAATTCTGAGCTGTTATCTATTAAACTACCTGCACATCCAAGCTTTCAGCACCTGGTATTCCCAAGAAGTCACCCATCTAGGTAATGGCCAGGTTTGATGTTGCTTAACTGTGGTGATCATACGGGAACTAGCGTTTCAATGTGATGTGCTCATAAGGCATAAATATTGCATATAAACTTAAAATTAACATTCCTTGAATGCAACAGAATAGTTTTTTTTTAATTTTGTGGGTTTTTTTTTTTGAGTGGGTGGGATAGCTGATCCCAATAATTTATTATCTAAAAGGTAAGATGGTCATCACAAATTAGCATTTTGTGACAAGAATTTGTAGTTATGATGGAAAAACAAAATGTGTATGTTGGTAAAAAGTTGTTCCATTTGCATCCTAATTTCACCATTATTTATTGTAATTTCACCATTATTCCATCCTTCTGAAAGATCATCATTGATGCATGTAAATCGCATGCACCCAATACAAATGCAATCCTTATGGAAGGTAATATTTTCATATAACTGTCTATATCCATCAAAAATAATAAGTAAAGATATTTGCATGCATGAATGAGTGTAAATTATTAGGGATACACCTTCTATTATATCAGTTATTCATCTAGAAACACTGTATTGAAATATTTGTTTCATCTAGAAACACTGTATTGAAACATTTGTCTCATCTAGAAAAACTGTATTGAAATATTTGTTTCATCTAGAAACACTGTATTGAAATATTTGTCTCATCTAGAAATATGGTATTGAAATATTTGTCTCATCTAGAAACACGGTATTGAAATATTTGTCTCATCCAGGAACACTGTATTGAAATATTTGTCTCATCTAGAAAAACGGTATTGAAATATTTGTTTCATCTAGAAACATTGTATTGAAATATTTGTCTCTTCTAGAAACACTATATTGAAATATTTGTCTCATCTAGAAAAACTGTATTGAAATATTTGTTTCATTTAAAAACACGGTATTGAAATATTTCTCTCATCTAGAAACATAGTATTGAAATATTTGTCTCTTCTAGAAACACTGTATCGAAATATTTGTTTCATCTAGAAACACTGTATTGAAATATTTGTATCATCCAGAAACACTGTATTGAAATATTTGTTTAATCTAGTAAACGGTATTGAAATATTTATCTCTTCTAGAAACACTGTATTGAAATATTTGTCTCATCTAGAAAAACTGTATTGAAATATTTGTCTCATCTAGTAAACAGTATTGAAATATTTGTCTCTTCTAGAAACACTGTATTGAAATATTTGTCTCATCTAGAAAAATTGTATTGAAATATTTGTTTCATCTAGAAACATTGTATTGAAATATTGGTCTCATCTAGAAAAACGGTATTGAAATATTTGTCTCATCTGGAAACACTGTATTGAAATATTTGTCTCATCTAGAAAAACTGTATTGAAAAATTTGTTTCATCTAGTAAACGGTATTGAAATATGTGTCTCTTCTAGAAACACTGTATTGAAATATTTGTCTCATCTAGAAAAACGGTATTGAAATATTTGTTTCATCTAGGAACATTGTATTGAAATATTTGTCTCATCTAGTAAACGGTATTGAAATATTTGTCTCTTCTAGAAACACTGTATTGAAATATTTGTTTCCTTATATCTTAATGTATATAAATTCCTTTAAAATGACTTTCTGGTTCTTGTCTCTATTTTGGTTGACTGATTTTAATCTAAAGGATATTTACAATATGATGTTGCTTATAATTTTTAGCTCCCAATTATAAGTACATTTTACTTGAAAAACTACTTAAAATCTGAGATAGCCAATTAGATTTTTGTGTATCAAATATCTGCGCAAAATAGGAAATCACTTTTTTGATTCTATTACAGCTTTTCTTGCATAACATCTGGAAAAATTTCCTTCATATTTCCTGTATTTTTATCATTCAACTGTCAGACTGATAAGTAGTTTAAAAAATGTAAAGGTTGATATTTTTAAAAACTATATACACATATTTTAAACCTTCATATATATATATGAGCACATTTGTGTGTGTCTGAATGTATATGTATATATACATATAAATACTGATAAAAATATATGAATGAAAATCTTTGTGTATACTTAGACTAAGATTAAATGCTTCAAAACAGATCAATAACAACATTTTAAGGCAAATTGAATCAACAGACATCAAATAAAAATGGCAGAAAGAGGAAAAAGCTGGTCAATAGATGTTAATTAAAACTAAATCCATTATTTTTAAAGCTAAAAATAACTGCTTGTTCTTTCACTTTATTTTGACTATTTCCTTTCCCATTTTAATTTGTGTTTCATATTTTATATCTGTTTTCTTTCACTTCCTTTTCTTTTTTTCTTTCTTTAATAAAAATAGAAATCTTTCTCATAAATGTCTGAATTCTACTCTCTTCACTGGAGAAGAGCTGAGCAATTTCTGAAAGAAACGACAAAAGAGAGATCAGCTATGAAATGTTCTGCTCTAACAGACTCATTTTTCCTTGGTCATATAAAGCAATATTTGGTCAGAAGCCTAAATAAATACTTTCTTTCTCATGATTATCCTCTCTTCAAGCAACTTATCATTTCTACTCAGTTGCATTTTCCATAGCAAATGGAATGCAAAGGAAATACATTTACTGAAAATAAATTTTTAAACTGTGCTTTCATAAAAGTTTGTCTGAATGGCAATGCAGCAGATGATTCAAGATATCAGATTTCCTTTCTTCTCAAGGAAGAAATGGAAGTTTTGGTGCCACTTATTTGGGATAAAAATCACACTGGGAAAATGTCAGGATGCACTTAAAATTCTTCCCAAAATAAAATTAATCTCTGGTTAAACTCCAATTGGAGGGCTGTGTCATTATAAAAATGAAATACACATACCACATATATATATATAATTGTTTTAAAATTTGCTATATTTATTGAAGAAGAGTGCTTATTATCAGGAATAGAAAGCATGTAGATATAAACAGTTTGGAAATAGAAATCAACACTATATGGTGACTGATAATATCATGTCTTAAGTGATAGACAAGCCATTTATTCCTCTATATGTGGGCTCTATATATAGACCACTAGAGTGTTTACTGCAATGATTCCCAACAAGGGGCTCATACCCCACTGGTGGGGCATGGTAATATTTTGGTGGGGCATGCATAGGATGTGCACCCTTCAGCTTACTATACCAACAAAATAAGGGGGCAATTTGAGAATGAATTATTAACAGTGAATTGTTTTCTAATAGACTCAAATTTTATTTTGCATTATTAAATTTCATGATTAAAATGATCAAAGTATTTTACAGAATAAAACTTTCATTCAAATATTTTATATTTCTGCCCTTCAGTTCTCTATTATATGTTTTGAAACTATATATTTTTAACTGTCTTTTTGTTTTTTAATTTTTTTCTCTTTCATGGATGCCATGGTCTTTGGAGGTTTGTTTAGAGACCAAGTTAATGGCATTTTAAGCTTCCTTCACATGAGTTGCAATAAAATTTTGAAATTAAATATTACAAGGGGGCACCAGAATTTTAGAAATACCAAAGTAGGGCCTGGCCCAAAATCAATTGGGAATCAGTGGTTTACTGGAAATGGAAAAAGTGGGGAAATGTTTTTAGGGCTAATGTTGTTAGATTATTTATAGTACTACCTTTGAGTTTATTTTTAGTTTATATATTTTATTTTTATTTTTCCTTTTTTATCTTTATTTAATTTTATTTATTATTTTATTTTATTTATTTTTTTTATATAATTTCTTTAATTATGAAGTTTGGTACTTGAAATAAAATTTATTAGTTTTCGTTGTGGACCATTATTTAGTCTTTACACTTATGATGTCCTTGGAGAACAACAGCTAAATAAATGGGAGAATGAAATAATAAGTGAAGTAAAATAGAATAAATAAAAAAAATAATCTTACTTATTATAAAACGCAGATTGTGTGTGTGTGTGTGTGTGTGTGTCTGTATGTTTATATATTGGATCGGATTTCCTACATTTTTCAACCGATTTCAACAAAACTTCACAGGACTACGTAAAATTACCTTGCGGTGGTTCTAACAGCACCAAAAATTGGAAAAACACAATTGTTTTTGCACGAAATCAATTTGAAAACACGATTAAGAGGCGTCACGAGAATGAAAGGGGGGACAACTCATATCGAGTTATACTTATTATAAAACCCAGGTTGTTTGTGTGTGTGTTCATTTATATATGGGATTGGATTTCCTACATTTTTCAACCAATTTCAACAAAACTTCACTTTTTTTTCTTATTGTCTTGCACACTTTTTTCTTTATTTTTACATTCAGAATGCTTTAAAAATTCCATTTACAAGACAATTGTTTATAATAAAATTCTATTCAATCAGTAGACTCATCATAATGATTGAAAACAATGTTTTTGTTTGGGTTTGACAAATTCGTATAAAAAAAAAGAAAAAAAACTAATTAAGACATGCGTGTCCGTCAATCTTAAACAATAATCTTTGTCAATTTTACTTTTCAGTCTTTATGATGGTTGATACTTGATCTATCTCTTACTGTTACATCCCCGGGCAACGCCAGGCTCTACTGCTAGTAAATAAATAAATTCAAGACAAGGACTATAAATAATCTAGAAAGATTAGTCATAAACCCCAAAACGAGGAAATACCAATTTTACTCTTTTATTTCTATTATTTATTAAACTTGAAGAAGTGGCATTCAAATGATTTTGTTACAATTATTATTAAATATATTATTTTCAAACATTTTTTAAAATTTTCATCAATGTTGATACCTACCTGTGTATACAATATTTTTCTTATTTATAATCAGTTTCTTAAGAGTTGGAGAGACTAAGTATACTTTCTACACTTTATTCATATGTTTGAGAATATCAGTTCATTTACCACTAACTATAAATATTTTATCCATGTAATTTTTGTACAATTAAATATGTCTGATACAAAAATCTATATAATAAATGTGAATGTCAGTGTGTCACTGTGTCTCACTTCTTCAACTTTATTCCTAGAGGCCGTAGCCCACTATATCATACCATTTTAGAATCAGACCGACTCTGTGAGCAAATTAAAAACATTCTGGGTCAAGTCTGGACCTGAAATCCTGAAATTTTGGATTCCCAAGTTTTCATT